ATTCGTATTTTGGAGATAACTATACCACAAATCAACTACGAAGTTTTACAGACAAAAACATTTGGAAAAGTGTATGCCTTGAGATGCCATACTGAGATTTCCCCCCTATTTTTGTATTTTCAATGCAATCGAGTTGTTTTGAGGTGAATTGAAACAAACAAAGCATCAGGCGTAAAAATAATTTTCCAAAATTTGATAAGAAGGTTATAGAGCCAATTGAAGAAAAAATATCTAATATTACCGAAGAAGACTGACAGAAAAGAATTGAAAAAGTAATTTTAGTTAAAAAAGACTATATGGAGATTGGACACTTCCATATTGATGCTGGAAATAAATTCATTATTAATTTATACGACGACAGAGAATACGGATAAGGAATTATCAGAAGCTTTCGAAGAAAGTTAATGAATTATATACCTAGTTATTGTGATTCTTATATAATCAGAAATGATAATTGAATTACAAAATTACTTAGCTCCCTAACTATATTATTAAAGGGGAGCTGTTGGAAGGTAGTTTGCACTATATCGTTTACTTGAACTATAAAAATAGTTTCATGGTGTATCAGAAGGTATCTAATAGGTGAAAAAATAGTTATTCGAATCCTTGTTATCCATTAGTGTGCAAATGAGTTATTATTTGGGTGCATAAGAGCTTTTCAACAAACTTTTCATTACATTTTTAGTTGCCTGTGGTACTGTCCGTTTCCGAATACCCAGTATAGAGTCGATCTACCTCTACTGTCCGTCAGTTTCCTCAACTTCTTCTAACTCAGTGATTTAATGACTATTATTACCTATTCGATGAGGAAATCATTAAACTGGATTTGTAATTAAAAAACAACCCCAGGTTACATTTCAACTAATGACCAATTTACACATCTTGCAAATCAACATGTATTGTGTAATCCAAATTATTAATGCAAAATTCAAAAAGTTAAAATAGTCCCGAGTATTTGGAATAAGAAGATATCAGGGAATCCCTCATGAGCTCAATCATGCCCATTGGTTGAATATGAGTAACCGAAGACGCATTCATGACGCTAACCTATTTCATAAAATTATTCTCACCAGAAAGCTTGCATATTCTCATAGAAAAATTTCTTGTTGCACGGATGTACACAACGTCAACATCAAGTTCAGGGGAACACTTACTCCACCTTCTTTGACAACATAATTTTTCCGCAGATATTTGTGTAATATATTTAGTTGGTCTTGAATAAAACACATTACTCCGGTGTATCGATTATATGACTGAAAAATCGATATCGTGAAAACATGATAGATGAATCTCGGTAATAATCTCAATAGTGTTACGTCCCCGTGGGTTGACCAATATAATTGACTACACTGAATAATTAAACTTAACTTTTCGTTGTTGTCGCGAAACATTTTTAGCAGCTTCAAATTCTAGGGCATAAATGATGATTTCATTCAATTTTTTATGACGTGCAATCCCCAATGACTGCTGCAGCTCCGTGTCACGAACCCCATCGATGAAACTATGGACACTAATCCAGTGGGTGAAGTTATCCGGTGCTTCTGGGTAGGCGAGTCTAACCTTCCGACTTCAGTTCCAAACTCTTGTAAACTTACTGATTGACCTTGAATGCTCACCTTCAGTTGAGGGTGGTAGACTTGTTGAAGGTGCTCACTACCATATCTGACCTCCAAAGCTGATACGACTGCTTCATAATCCTTTTGCCTGTTCACTGGAATATTTTGCAAAATTTCGGAGGCCTTTCCTCGTAGTGCCAGTATAAGAGCTGTTGCTTCCTTCTCACTTTTCCACCCATTATTTTTCACAGCGGCCTCAAACTGTCTGCGATAAATTGGTTCTAATAAAACTACTGCTAGAAGGGTAAGATTTCGTTTGCGATTAACATTTTTCCAAGGTAATACTTTTCGGTTCCGGTAATTATTTCCTAAGTTCCCGGAAAATCTCTTCAAACTTTTTGTCGACTCCTTCAAGTTTTCTTTCGACTCCTTCAAACTCCCCTTCAAATTGTTTTTCAACCCCTTCAAGCTTCCCATCAACTACTTTTTCCAATCCGTCCTTTGTTTCCTGAAATACTTTACTGGTACCTTCCCTTTACTCACTTGGGAAGATTTTAAATCTTTCAATAAATGAAGGTACATCTGATTGTTTTTTTCCTGCTTTTCTTGAATACCTAGTAGTATTTCATGATCTTCATTTCAGCGTAATTGTTCTTCCTCTCTTTTTCGTTCATCTTCCTCTCTCCTGCGTTTTTCATTCTCCGCCAGGCTCGCTCAAACATTTTCTCAAGCTTTTCCATTCCGTCGTAATCGACAATCCTTGTTTTCACCATAAAACAGTAAAATTTCAGTCAATTATTGCACTTCCGATACCGAATGTTACGTTTTTCCCTGTGGGTTCGCCAATAATTGACTACACTGAATAATCAAACGTTACTTTATTTCACTTTAAATACAACAAACATTTCAACTAAACTTTGACGAAGTCTCTTTTCTTAAACGAAAGCTTGACGATTTGTGAAATAGAGCGTGTCTGATTGAAAAACAACAACTAACCCAGCTCATGCCACACAGAAAGCTGAAGTAAAACCATCAGGCATCGGTGCAACTTCTTCCATTTGGAGGATTCGTATGTATAGATGGAGCTAAAGAAGTTTTACTTTTAAAGCACACCCATTTTTTTCAGTAAAGAGGTAGAATTCAGATAGTATGAACACACCTTAAGAATCTACTGTATAATAATACATGTGTTGCGGTTTTGTGAACTGTAGAAGTCTCACCATGAAGTGTTACTTAATTACATTATTTTGGTTCTGGAATTTTTATTATGTATTTCAATATTCAACAAGAAACATTGCCAAACACATTTGAATATACTACTGTTCTGTGTCAAGTACTGCAGATTTCCTGCGTGTGATGAAGATATATGAATAGAGAAATTGAACAAGAATGAATTGTTTGAAAGTTTTATTTTTTGTAAAATCCAAGCGAACCTAACCTAACCACCCGTAGGTCCCTAACTTTTTTCTCAGTGTGTAGTGAAGATATCTCTCTTCCCAATAGCTACAGACAGTTCAGACTGTCGATTGTCGTCGATTCAGTTCATTCAATCCGCGAGTTGGCATAAGTTATTTTATCATCGATATCGAGTGCGGCGAGAGTAACTTGTGTGAATATATTATGTTAATTATTGTTTGTAAGCAGACGTACTATTGTGTTTTCAGTTATTAATCAAAGTACTTGACTCGTACATTAACAAGTGGTCTTCACTTACTTATTACATTTATATGAGTAGATGAGCAGGTTAGTAATAATAAGAACAGGTGTAGTTAAAAAAAATTGTGATGAAATTGTTACATCCGTTTTTGGGGTCAGGGGTGGCTTGGCCCGACGACGAATGCTCCATAAATTATGATAATATTTTAACTTTGCTGGTTAGTCCCCATTTTCGTTTGTACCTATGTTGTCTGACACATATTTTAAACATGGTCATGGATAACTAATGTTTGAGCCCTGATGATGAATTTAATAAAATCCGAAACGTTGGCCTAAAACTAAATTGTTTCTCTGCGAACATTTTTGATCCTTTTGCCAACCAATAGAAAAAACCGCATTCGATAATGATTCAGTCGAACTATTTTCGACTTCTGGGAAAAAAAATAAAAAATTACATTATGAATTTCCACATGCGGTCAATAGATACAATTTTGTGTGAAAACTGTGAAAAAATTAACCCACATTGAATTTTTAAACAGAAAACTGTTTCAAATATTACACAAAGTTATTTTACGGAGATTCGAAAGTAATTGCAGAGATTTCATCCTCATGACTCTCTTCCACATTTTCAATTGATTACTCCTGCTTGATATCTTTCGAAGAATATTTACCTGTGAATCAACTAATATTCAAGTGAGGAAAATTTATCAAAAGTCAATAAAGATAATGCGTACGAATAATAAATATCTGTATGTTCTGAAATGAAAAAAAAAAACACATTGATTCATAAATAAATTCCAGGTGGCTGATTTGAATTCTCAGTTCACAAAAATAACTTTTATGTAAAATTATAGAGGTATATTGAAAACTTGAAGAAAAAATCGCGCAGAAATCAAAATGATTATAATTTTTTTTTCAACCGGAAAGCATGTGAAATACTTTTCGAATACGAATCTCACTTTCTATTTATTTTAAGTAGTTCTTTTTATTTTGAATCAAAAGGAATATTCCTTACTTTCGAAAAAAAAATTCTGAAACCCATATTAAATTTTAGTTCAGTTTTGAAATTTAGAGTGATTTTTCATCTTATAAATAGCTATTTGACTGAATTATATTGATCACGGCCTATACGAGTATGTTTTGATTTATGTCAAATTTTCTAATGAAACCATCATATATAGGAGCAAAGAATCAATATTCATACTGGAATCAAAAATATTTATGATTGCGCCAGAAAAACTATTAGAAACGCAAACATTAGGAATAATAGAGTTCTATTTTTTATCATCATTTTGACATATAGTCATGAAGACTTTCAGAATATGCACATGCAGGTTGTATACAATTGAAGTGAATGAGTAAGTAATCTTATCTGGAAACATATAAAGATTAGGCATCAAATAACAAGAGAAACTAGAAATTAATTCGATGACTTTCATTATGTGAGGTGATTAATTTATATACGAATACATCTAAAAACATCAACATAGTCGTTAGAAGTAGTCTCATTCATCTATCCGTGATGATAATTTGTTTAGCTAAACACGTCTCATTTTGAGATATTTTCTGGAACATATCTGTTATCAATGGACTAATTTTCAATAGTGCTGAGTACTTTTCGCTTTTTCCTCTGTGATAACGGTATTAAAATAATCAGTGTCATTTCTTTTCGAGTTTGAAAGCCGTGAATTTTTGGAATTTCTTCCTGACGTTTCGCTGGCGCGAGTGGCTAGCTTCTTCAGGGGTTTAACCATCATGGCTTGCTGTCCGATGACTACCTTTTCGGCTTCGTAACGCGTATTTATGCCTTGTCAGGTAATCAGTTGTATTTGCACAGGTATTTGTACCTGCATTTGTACTTGTACTCGTTCCTGCACTTGAACTTGGAACATTAACACTCTTGCTGCCTGTTGTCCTGTTCGTTATTCTCGATTTCTTTAAAATGGGGTTCCATATTTGATTGAGGTGCACTTCACTAAGTGAAGGAGACCACAGAATTTTGTTTGAAAACACAGAACTAATTGCCCCAACCAGGGATACCATAGCCGACTGGTACGGGAGGCAATAGAGATCCACAAACACACGGAGAATTTCAACCGAAAAGAAGAAGGGGTGCACCTCAATCAAATATGGAACCCCCTTTTAAGGAATTCGTGAATAACGAACAGGACAACAGGCAGCAAGAGTATTAATGTTCCCAGTTCAAGTGCAGGAACGATTACAGGTACAAATGCAGGTACGAATACAGGTACAAAGTGGTCATCACTACTTTTTTATATTCGTTAGAGCTTCTATTTCTCTCTCCACCCCTCCACAAAAAAGTTGGGTTTTTCTGTTCTCAAACCCGATCGAGATTTGATGAAGCATCTCCATAATATCTTTGCTTAAAAGCATTATTTCGAGATGTAGGTTGAGTAAATCAAGATCTCTCAATAGTTCCATTGAATTTTGATACAACATAATCGAAGACCGAATGTAGTTTGGTTTATTGGGGTTCGTCACATCAAAATGTGGCAAAAAGTAGAGTTTTCTTAATTCAAATGTGTTTTTATAACAGTTTTCTAGCATGACCTTTCAAAATATATTTAAAATTTCCATTGTTTTTCCTATTCAATTTTCGTGAGTTTTTTTCAATCATTCGAAAACTGAGGATTCGCGTGGTGTTCTTGAAGGTTCAGTATTTTCATTGAATTTGCAAATTCCGTACTTTGCATGAAAAATCCAATATATTTTCAAATCGACCTTCTTTCAATCCTCGCCATGAAGTTAATGATATTTTCAATGATTATTTTTGATCTGCAATGCTAATGATTTTGTCAACTTCGTGAGTGGAAGTTAACAGTGCATTAACGTTCTTCTTCGATCAGCCTTTGATCCAGAAATTTGTGTTGACTCCTTTAATTGTCCAATGAAATCCATGAATTCATTAGGTTCGCTACAAGAAATGGATATATTTTTATTGAAACAGATTATCTCGCCATTACATGATACATTCTCAGCTCTCCAAAGGGAAGTTTTTGATTTCTCAGTTTAGTTTTCTTTTAAAGGAAATACGAAAGAAATTGTTCTTATTTCATTGTAGCAATGTTAGTCTACCATTGCTACACTCGTATAGAATTTCTGATCATGTCTATTTATTTCAGATTGTAGACGTTCGTAACACTCAAAAAATCAGATCAAAAACCCAATTGGTCATCACAAAAATATGACTCTTAAGCAAAAAGAACCTGCTTATTATTGATCTTGTGGAAATTTTGAATTTCTCTCAATGCCTTCGAGATCGACAAACATTTTTGATGATTTGAGTACACATTTTTTGGTTAATTGTCAGGATCACGGGTATTTTAGTGGGCAAATTTAAAATCTTCAGAAACAATTTTTGATATGTGAAATTCCTATGAAGACCAAAAATGGATGAAAATTTGATAAATAATTCATATACAGGATGTAACATAAGTACGTTAAAATATTCAAGTGACGTATTCCTGAGAAAACATGTATCCGGAAATTATTCGTTTCGGAGGTACAGGATGTTATGGAAGCGTAGAAGGGCCACATATTATTTGTTTCTTTGATCCACAATAATTTCGACTTGAAAGTCGAAATTTCGATTTTTATCTCGTAATTTCGACTTTTATCTCATAATTTCGACTTTTATCTTATAATTTTGACTTTTATCTCAGAATTTCGACTTTTTTCTCATAATTTCGACTTTTATCTCGTAATTTCGACTTTTATCCCGTAATTTCGACTTTTATCTCATAATTTCGACTTTTATCTCATAATTCCGACGTTTATCTCGAAATTTTGACACTCTTTTTTTCAAATCACTTCGACAGTGCTCCAATCTTCTCATAGTGGTATGTTTTTATACGAAGAAATATGACAGAAACCGATTTTATTTTTTGATTGAACGTTCGGGAACCATTCTGCTCCAGATAGTTTTTTTTTCGTCATTAGGTCTCTATACCTAAGAAATGAACATTGTATCTCTTCGAAGAACATACCTACAGTATTAGTTGGTTGCCATTGAAGAATGTGTTTCTACATGACGTTCAAGATATGAATGTGTAGAGTATTCTTTCAAAATGTTAATAAATTTCTACCAGAAATTTCTTCAGTTGTAGTGAAAAACTGAATTTTAGATAAGTTTTGATAATGAGGTAAGGATATTACTGATCAGATTGATTTACTATGATGAGAAACTAATATTTTTCTGGCCAACGTCGACTTTATCCTACTCGTGCGGAAAGTAATTACTTTTTCAAAAAGGTACTGAATAATATCAATGCATACTTATCAATCTAAAATTTATTGACATAACATTATTGATTCACTTCTCAGGTTGATGTATAAATTAATTGTGGCATAAGGATTGAGGGACCTTGTGTAATTATTTTTTTTCATAAAAATTGAACATAATTTCCAAAAATCTTCATCATAGGCTGTCCGGGGGTATGTATACTTCGACGAAAAATGTTTAAAAGCGAATGATGGAATCTTGATGAGGTGATCTGTACTCCATAAAGGGAAGGCATCGCATACAATATACTTGGTCTCCCTGCTGTTGCAATAGCATTTCTTGTTTTCCGTATTCTATGAATACTCCATTCCAAACATACTTGATCAAGATCACACTGAAATAAAAATTGTAATTATAATTCCATTAACAACAACTTACCTCTCACTTGTATTAATGGTATGGAACAAAATTGAACCAGAGACTTGTCCAAAAGTGATCCATCAAATAAATTGTCTTCTATCAGGGTTTGAAAGTGTATCTCGTTTACTTAGGAAATATGTGTGAATTAGAATTTTTCATGAAAAGTAGGCAAAAGTTAGGGCAATGTGAAATAATTAATGAGAGTATAAGCAACGATGAAAATCAATACGAAATTATACGAAAATATGATTTCTCATGTCAAAAAACTCCAATTTATCAAATTTAGTGCAAATAACTAATTCATTGCAGAAGTTATTAAAAAAAATCAACAAAAAAACAATTCACACCTTGTATCTTCGAAACGAAGCATTTCCGGACACAAGTTTATATCAAAATTTTTCTCAAAATCGCCTCAGGAATACGTAACTTGAATATTTTGACGTACTTATGTTACACCCTGTATAGACTAACAAAAATCGCACTGCAAAAAATTTGATAGAATCTATTATTTTTCAGGTCAAGTTGAAAGAATGTGTCTTCCAAATAAAAAAAATCAATATTGTTATTGAATAATTTTTCATAACAAAATATTGGAAACCACAAAATTATTATCATGGAGTGAAGTTGACGTTTGAAATGAACATCTTAGAAATAAACAGCTAGCGTAAATAATAAATATCAATTAGATTGTTTATCGATATAGGGTTAACCATTCTACAGTACGTATTTCCTGTTGTTTGATTGATATTATAGGTTCGAATTGCTGCCACATAAAATTGTCATACGGATTCATTCCTGGGGTTGAAGTGGTAAAAATGAATGGAAACATTAATTTTAAGAAGAGATAACTGTTGAAGAGGGAACAAGATTCAAGAGTCCAATAAGTCAAAAAAATGTCTTACCACCTTTCAGGGGTGTATATAATAAAATATAAAAAATCGGACAGAAGGAATCTGAGAATGATTCTGAAGTGTTACGAGAGTTTTTTAGAATGCTGAAAGAAATTTCATAATTGATTCTAGAGATACTTGCCTGCTAAAAACTTCTGTATATTATCTACACATATTTGTTAAGAGTTCATTTTGAACTTGATTTTTTTTATAAAGATGGAGAAGTCAAAACGTTTTTTACCAATAGTAAGTCTTTTTTGAATTCAAACGAAATTCCAACTGATGGGATTGAAATCAAATAACAGTATAAGGCAAATGTCTTACGGCGAAACATCGAACGTCTACCAGTGGGGATGAAAGTGTTCCATGTAAGTGAAATTTATTACCATTCATTTAAAGTAGAACTCCTGTGAATGATATCTGCTTTTATTCCATAACGAATGTTTGGAATACAAACTGAGTAGAAACATCGGACGTCTACCAGTGGGGATGAAAGTGTTCCATGTAAGTGAAATTTGTTACCATTCATTTAAAGTAGAACTCCTGTGAATGATATCTGCTTTTATTCCATAACGAATGTTTGGAATACAAACTGAGTAGAAAAAAGTGTTTTCTGTATAATTCAGTATTCATATAAAAGTATTTGTTTCGAAAATATTTGTCTTTCGTGTAACCCAATGTTCATATGAAAATAGCTTTTTCGAGAGGATTTTTTTCCTGTTTGTATCTGGAAGTTACTTCTTTGCGTGATTTACAGATCTTTATATGGAACCAATTTTTTTGAAATTAATTGCTTCTTTCCTTTCTTTGGAAGATTCCCATATTTTTTTGTATCAAGATGGAGAAGTAGAAAGCCAACACCTTTCTTCCCCAAGAAATTAACCTCTCCTTGAAATATTCCCCTTTTAATTCAAACAAGAATCCTTTGGCAGGATTCAATCAAATAAGCGAATGAATGTCATTACGATGTCATCTGTGACATAAGTAGCTCAAACTCATACCGTTATATGAAGTCGTTATTTTCTCTCATAATGTTATCCAAATTTGGTACTGAAGAGCTGATAAGTCAAGTGTCTTACGGCGCAACATCGGATCCTTACCAGTGAGGATGACAGTGTTCCATGTAAGTGAAATTCACCGTTTCATTCACTATATTGTGTAAGAATGCTGTGAATGATATCTGATTCAATTACATAACGAAAGTTTGGAATACAAACTGAATTGATAAAAGTCTTCATATAGAAGTATTTGTTTCGAAATTA